GAAGGCCGTCTGGTTTGGGGAGAAGCGACATCAGTCAGCCTCTCAACTGTACAAGTCGGCCTTCTCACAGTTCAAGAAAGGCTCCATCTGAGAGTCTTCCATGCTGGGATGGACACAGGGAGGTCCTCTCAGGTTAGGACAGGTGTCCTTCCAGCCAGGAAGGCCACTGTGGAGCAAAGGCAGCCACCAGCAAATCTAACACCACTTGTCCTCTGTGGAGGGGTTGAATTTGTGATAAAACACGCTTGACCCTTGGGGGGGCTCAAATGACCTTTTCACGGGGATTGCCTAAGACTACTAGAAAACACACATATTACATTACAATTCACAACAGTAGCAAAGTTACAGTTATGAAGTAACAACAAAAATAATTTTATAGTTGGGGGTCACCACAACACGGGGATTTCCAGGCATTTAACACCCTGTTAAAGTGGGAGATTACATTGAGATGAAAATTAGCGTTGGGTCAGTAGTATAGGTAAGGATTTTTGTTTGTTTTCAGCTCATCAAAATCAGACTTTTTAAAAAGTCTTTCCTAGATGTTAAATTTTATTTCATTCAAAGAAAAACTGCTAACCACAGAAGTCATACTCATGACCTCATATGAGTTTGTTCTAAATGCAACAGAAAGGAATTAAGGCAGTGGTTCTCAACCTTCCTAACGTGGGGACCCTTCAGTACAGTTCCCCATGTTGTACTCTTAGGCAATCCCTGTGAAAAGGCCATTTGACACGCCCCCTTGAGGGTCGTGACCCACAGGTTGAGAAGCAATAATTAAAGGACCAAATAAATTTCCAGCCTCAACATCACTTTTGACTTCTCTCCTCAGATCTTTCTGCTGTTGTGGAAAATGTTCAGAATGAATTTTTACTTCATTTTATCACCCATTTAAACATTTAGAATGTCTTTCAAATAAATTGGTGGAGAAATTCCTACGTTTCTTTAACTAAAGGGAACTGCTCATCCTTGGCTCCCACAGAGCTACTTCCCCTCTCTGTCCAAGTCCATCCCCTGCCTTCTTGCCAGCCCTTGGCTGTGGCCCCATGTTGCCCTGGTGTCCTTTGAGGCCTAGAAGAGATGCTTCCCGTCCCAGCGCGTTGGGCACCCGTGAACTCCATCTTGCATTTTCTTGCAGATCTCGACGAGTGTGCAACCAAGCAGCATAACTGCCAGTTCCTGTGTGTTAACACCATCGGTGGCTTCACATGCAAATGCCCTCCTGGGTTTACCCAGCACCACACTGCCTGCATTGGTAAGCAGGAAGGAAAACCCTGTCTGGAGCACAGCTGTTGGTCTTTTTGGTCTAAGAGACTTTTCTACTCCCTCTGCTGTCCGGTAACAGTACACCATGTCCCGCTTGGGGCGGGGGTAGGGTGGGGTGGAGAGTAGGGGGGGTGGGGGGTAGGGGGGAGCACATGTTGGACTGTGCACACACAGTGTGAAGTTACTGACCCGATTTTGGACTCCTTTGGGTCAACCTCCCCCCTTCCTTTCAAACATTGCAAAGCAGCTTTGGAATGTGTCATCTCCTGTCTCCCGTGCTTCTCCCAGATAACAATGAGTGCACGTCTGACATCAACCTGTGTGGCTCCAAGGGCGTTTGCCAGAACACTCCGGGAAGCTTCACCTGTGAATGCCAGCGGGGGTTCTCACTCGATCAGAGTGGCGCCAGCTGTGAAGGTAGGGACGAGATGCTCTTTGCAGAGGTGGCCTTTGTGGCTGTCAACGTCTGTGAATTGCAAGAACTAATATCTCTTCTGGGTGTGGTGGTACAGATCCGTAGTCCTAGCACTTGGGAGGCAGAGGCAGGAGGATTGCTACAAGTTGGAGGTCAGCCAAAAATAAAAAACAAATAAGTAAACCAAAGGGCAAAAAAGAAGGAAAAGAAAAAAAGACTCTGAACAAAGAGAGCAGCCAATTGAAGCTGGGGCTATTCACACGGCCCCCAGTTTTAGAAAAAAACCTACATGCTTCTTCCGTGTAGATCAGGATTTTGTTTAGTTAACAATCTAGCGTAGTAGGAATAACTCTGCAAAAATACCTTGACTTCTGACATTTGGGGCCAGAGCCCTGAGATTTCTCCAACATGGACAATACATACAGGAAATAACTCTTCTACAAATGTATAATTAAATGTTTAAATTTTAATTCTTAAGATTTCATTTTCTTATTTATGTTTCTAATTCCAGTACAAATAAACAAACATAATTTCCAGAGCTACCCCACAATGCTCTGTGGTGAATTGACATCATTTTGATCGGTAGACTTTACCAGGAATCTCTGAATGTTAATGTAGATACGCCTGATGTTTTGCTAGAATAGCTTTTTAGGAGATTCATTTCTAGAACTGCCTTTTGGCTTCCCAGGCCGATGGATGAGGCTTCAGGGGGCCTGGGAGACAGCGGCTGACGGGGCTCACGGGAGGCTCTGCTTCTTTTACAGATGTGGACGAGTGTGAGGGCAACCACCGTTGTCAGCATGGCTGCCAGAACATCATCGGCGGCTACAGGTGCAGCTGCCCCCAGGGCTACCTCCAGCACTACCAGTGGAACCAGTGTGTAGGCAAGTAGCTCCCAGTCCTTAAAGAGGCGTGGTTGCCGCCTCCTCAGAGAGCCGGTGCCTTCCTGCTGAAGTAAGGTTACTGAGCCAACAACGGCCCACAGAAAGTTGCTCTACCCCACTTGAAACCAACGGGAAGTAAAAATCTCTTAGGAAAAAAAGCACAAGATGAAGAATGCTTTGGGAATAGCTGGGATGAAATACCCTTAGCCTTTCTCGATACCATCAGCCTTCCTAGTCCACTACACTGTTAG